TTTTGTCCACTTAAATATGTTTACAGAACTATTGTTGCATTTGTTGCAATTTCAGATGTCTTCTTGGCCAGATGACTCTTAAAACAGACGTTTTTAAAGTAAACATTTTTTTTAACTGCATAAATAAAGGACACATAAACGTCACTGCCAGAAAGTGATTGCGGCTTCTACCGTGTTACAGGAATGTTGTTGGTTGGTTAAGATGACATGAGGGATACATGTGACATATGTTTCACTTATTGTAGATCAACAAGTTATTTATAGCAGTTTAAATACACAACACGGGCTCCCGGGTGCGACTCGCCGTTTCCAGCGACGATTAATGAACTCGTGTGACGATAAAATGTCGCGAGGCCCTCCGCGCGTGCAGCTGGGCCCCGCTGTAACTAAAGCAGAAGTCTCCGGTTATTGTTTAACGGGACATCCACCCACTTAGTGAGCGGTTACACACACGAGCGTTTATCTCATCCCAGAGTGGATTTCACAGGAAAACTCCAAACATTCAAATCACGAGTTAATGCCACTTGATTGAGCAGCGCCGTTGGGCCGTGGATCGGCCTCTATTACACTGTTAAGATAAGGCTGCGGCCCGTTTGACTGGACAAAGGTGTGTGTGGGTATAAAACCAGCGCTGCGTGCTGTCTGTGCTCTGTTCACGTGGGTTTTACATCTGACATTCAACATTTGTTGAACATTTTAAAAACAATGTTGACACAGAAATGTTATTCAAACAAGTGCACCATCGCGCTCTTTGCCTGTCTTACTTCAGCGTGGAGCCAAACACGGGGAACGTCTTTTTGCATAAAGCAATGATTCCGATCTCTGGCTGAACCTAAACAGTTTGGAGAGCGACCCTCGTGGGCCAATCCGCTGACTTGTGACACGATACTTCCTGGAGCAAAACCGGTGAAAACGATCATTTCAAATCACACTTATCTTTGAAAGTCCGGCTCTAATGCAAAAAGTTACCATTAAATCATCTGACAGCTGCTAACAGACAATGTCACGAACGCGGTGTAACAGTGCGTGTACTATTATATTTCATTTATGTGAAAACTTATTGTGCCAAGTTCCACACATCACTGTGCTGATATATGACGCAGCAGTGCAGATACTGCAACAATAAACGGATGTTCACACTCATTATTCAGTAATATGGTTTTGCATGCAAGTTTTGATTGAGGAACTTTGGGTATATTTAAATGCAAACAGTTTTTGAGCTGAGCAGGAGTGTGACTTTTACTCAAACATTATGGGCGGTGTACACTCTTAGTGTGACCGTGGGGAGGCTGAAGTGTGAGCTGGTCCCGTATTTGCATTTTAAGACCCAGCTGCTATCAGCTGCTCTGTTCCATTACACTCGTCTGTTTTCTGATTACCTGTTTGCGTCGGGTCGATTCTTCTGGAACACAATTATCTCCCCTCTCCTGTCATCCGATCACTGTGGGGTTCGTTAAGAACTGCGCGCAAGCCAATCAGAAACGGCCGCCGGCCACCTGCAGGAAGTTGGCCGTCCACTTATCTCCTCCCTCCTTCGGCTGCAGACAGATAACAGCAGCAACAGTTGAACAGAGTGGCAGCTCCTCAGCAACCTGATGGACACTAAAACAGTGTAACGGTCCCCCGAGCAGCTCGGAAACAGCCTCTGGTCGTTGGTTAGCGTTGCTGTGATAGAAAGAGGAAGGCTGCGGGACTAAAGACGCGAAGCTCTCCCCTCGTTTGGATCCAGTGCGCAGCAGCGGTGATCGGCATCATGAGCGTCCCGCTTTACGCACCGACCCCAATTCAGCCGGCACACCCGACCCCCTTCTACATCGAGGACATTCTGGGGAGGACCTCCACCACCACCTCCACATCTCCGTCCTATTCTTCATCGCCAACGTCTTCATCTTCCTGCTCCACTCCGGTCATCCCCACGCCGACTCTCCCGTCTCCCAACTCGTCCTTCAAAAGTTTGATCTCGCCGTACAGAACCCCGATTTATGAACCCACGCCGATCCACCCCGCGCTGTCGCACCACGCTGCGCTGACGGCGACGTACGCCTCGGCGGGGGCTTTCACCGGCTCCTTTTACCCGTTTCACCAGCAACACCACCGCTCCATGGGGGAGTACGCACAGGCGCTGCTCAGGCACGACCCTCTCGGTGAGTTTCATTTCCATCATTGATATTTGTCCTATCATTTTTTAGCAAACATATCCTGCGGGACATTTTCTTGCCGTCAGCCAGCATCACGTTTCTTGTTTTCCTGTGTGGAAATGCGCCAGTTAAACTCAGTTCCTCAAGTCTGCACTGCTGGTTTTATTTCACTGGAAATCAGGACCCTTAAAACAGTTAAGGTCATATATTCACACTTTGCATTGTAAATAAATAAATAAATCATATATTATTGGACATTATATCCCTCAGTGACAATTTAGGTGAACCTGAAATCTGTTCGCGGCGACATATAAACTTGGATGATGTGGCAGTAAGACAACGTTTTGCTCTTTGCATGAAAACTTTAATGTCTTCACAAGCTTCGTTTCAGTCCCAACGAAACCATTTTTGCATAAACATCACGCTTCGTCATGCATGTCGAACTCAAGATCATCTACACTTGCACTGCTGCTCTTAAACACACTTTGTGCGTCTTCAGCCTTCAACTCGTTTTGGTCTCACAAGAACATGTGTGCGTGATGCCCGACCACGCACACATGAGTCACATTGTTATTGTGACAGACGTATTTGGGGCCACAATAGCAGCAGGCATATCCATTCAGTGTGCTGCTGGTGATAGGGAGGTGCATGGCAACCTTGACTCGTTTTCCTGACTCCCATTGTTCTGAAACATCAGAGGACCGAGTGACTAAAACATAGCCAGGCCCTAAATCACTTGTTATTTCACTGCTCTGTGTGTGTGTGCGTGCGTGCGTGCGTCATATACTTTTGAGCACCAAGTAGTTAGGTTATTTTTCTCTCGGGTATTGACTGACCATGAGCTTACAACAAGTTTTTATTATTATTATGATAATTATTAGCAGTATTAGTAATAGTGATGGTGGCTGGAGGACGTGAAACAAGCCGATCTTGATATTGTGGGCTTGTTAGAAATCAGCTGTGTGAGTTTGGAGCCGTGAAAGCTGCTTTACATGATGTCCACGGGGTGCTCGGAGCTCACGCACGCTGCGTGCCGTGTTAGAGGCCAGAAGTGATGGTCCTCTCAAGTATAGTGTGACAAGCGGACCGTCTGACTGTGCTGCTGAACAAGCCGGGCCTTTTCCGTTCATAGCGGAAGCTGTGAGCCTGTCGATAGGAGTAAATCTGGTTTCAGAAGCTGTTAAATGTTTTCCTGTCTCACCCCGGCCAGCCGCTTCCTCGGGAGCCCGCTGCACGCTGCTGATTATTTTATCGACATCCTCAATACAGACATATTCAGGAAACACTCGGCCTCTGATAGCCCGGGATCCGTTTTTCACATATTGTTGCACTTCCTCTGCCGGGCTCGCGAGGATGTGGCTGACTTTCTTTATGCTTGGCGGCGAGAGGAAAATAAGGCAAACAGAGAGCTAATGGGGACTTATGAGAAAGATAAAGTCCCCCTAACAGCAGCTGCAGTCTTGTCCTCCCAACTGCTGACCTTTCAGACAGACGACAAACAAGCATAAACTGAGATTGCCCGAGGAGAACAATGATTGGTTTCAGCGCTACAATCATCTGTAATCATCTCGTATGATTTGTCTTCTCGAACAGCGCATTAAAGATGCGGAGCTCTATAAATATCGCGCACACCTCCTCTGGCTATTTTAAGCAGCCCGCAGTGTGCGCGCTTTCAGGCCCGTATGTTCCGATCTCTGTCACTCACAGTTTTATGAAACTGTTATTAACGAGTCATCCCAACATCTGTGCATCTATTTACAGCGCTCACGGTAATACTCTGATTTGATGAGACTGTCTGCAGGCCGCTGTGCGCGCGAACGGCAGAAAGTTACAAAGTAACACAAAGCCAACAAAAACTGTGAAATATTTCAAACAGAAGTGCGCGTGCTTAATGACCACAGTTATAACAAATTAGCGCAAATCATCTGAGTTTCACAGATCTTTATTAGCTGAGCGTAAAAGGCACGAACACAAACTTCTCACACGTCAACTTAAAGCATATTCAGTGAAAATGTTTCATTTTATGTCATTTCCTTCATTTGTGCCGCAAATTGATTTTTACTCAATCTTTCCTGCACTCGTATTTTCGCTCAGTGTCTCTTGGGGCTGGATTGGCTAACTTCCTTAGGAAAAGCGCAGCAATAAGAAGGTCTTTGACAGCAGTTTCGACCACAAACATTCATATTGTGTCAGAGCGGAGCACAGGAGTGTCTGTTGGTGGATGCCATTGCCTATAATCACACCGCAAAGCAGGAAGCACATGAAGCGGATATTTGGCCATAGTTTTCACTGTCACGACCTTCCTGAAAAGACAGCTCGCAGCAGGCTGCAGGCTGCCGTTGTTTGTTCCCGGCCATTACCCGGGGAGGAAAGCAGACAGGACAAAAACACCTCTGATTGCAC